TGTAACTGGAGAAATGAGATTGAATTTTTACTGTCAATTATTTCCAAGTATAGTTTGTTTGTGTGTGTGTGTGTGTGTGTGTGTGTTGCTTCATCTCAATTAGGTAAAGCATTTTTTTCTTCCAACTTTTTGTAGATGAGATGTATCATTTATATTGGTAAAATTGTAACTATTGTAATACTAGTTTGTGGAAGTTAAAAGATAAAGCCAGATCTAAGAACTCTTAGAATTTTGTTTGTACCATTTTTCTTATGAATAATACATAGTAGAATTTCTAGAAATGCTTTATAATGATTTTTCACGCCATAGGGTTTGTGCCTACTTGAAATTACTCCAGAGTAGTCTTGACCCTGTAGTTATTTCTCAGATAATTTTGACAGACTGCAGTGTATAATTTTTTATCTTAAGTTTATTCATTTGAGAATACTTATTGGTTACTGTGCTTAGTGTCTTTAAAATTAGCCAAGCTCTAAAATCCATAAAATAATATCACAAAATTCTAATGAAGTACCTTTAATATTTGTGTGATATAATTTCCTTTTAAGGCATAATTTTCACATTTGCTGTACATGTAGAGGCAAACTTTTTATACTTTTAAGATAAGACCAGTGATGAGTTTCTTAAAGTGTAGGAATAATAAACAGAATAAACTTTTTTTTCCAATTTTGTTTGTAATGATAATTTAAAATTTTATACTCAAACTTTGAATCACAGGATCAGAATTTTACTGCTCAAGAAGTTTTTACAAAATGCATGGTTTAAGCACTAATGTTTTATAGGTACGTTTTACAGAATAGGCCTGTGACTAAGTGCTATAGAACCCCACACCACCTATATAGTCACGAGACTTCTTCATAGAATTAATCCCTGCCCTACTGTCTTATATAGGGAACAATTAGTATTGGCCCAAATGAGGGCATAACATAAACATTTTCATTGAGGGTAAAAGTAATAACTTCCTATTTGACAAAATCTTCTTAAAAGTTTCCATCTGATGGGAAGTAGTTCAGTGATAGAGCACTTGCTTAATATGCATGAGGCACTAGATTCGATTCCTTGCACTAAAGAAAAAGAAAGTTTTGTTTTTCCATTCAGAAAAAAATAGTGGGGAAATTTACTGCCAAGAAAAGAAATTACCCTTCAAAATTCATATATATTTTTAAATTTTTATTTATTTGTTTACATGAGCTCTCATTATTTTTTGCATTACAATTCTTAATACACCTTTTTACCACAATTTATCATATCTCTAGTATTAGTTTGAAAAGGAAAGTCAAACACAGCTTTATAAAAACTTCAGTCTCGGTCACCTACACAAGGTTTTATTGCAAGCAAGCATTCTAATGAAAAATCGAAGTAGTATGGATATAGTTGAACACTAATCCTCAGCTAACTGTCAATGGGAAGAAAATTTAGGTTTTCAGGAAAAATATACAAAATAACATCATTTTTAGTTGCATATGATACTCTCACATATAACTTTATATTGTCTTTACATTTCTCTTAAACACATTGCTAACATATTGTAAGGTAATACAATCAAGATAAAATAGGCTAATTTCTTGTGAAATATTTTATTAAGAAAATTTTTTTGGTATCTGGGATTGAAGTCAACAGCATTTAGCCGCTGAGCCACATCCTATCCCTTTATATATATATTTTTTATTTTAAGACAGGGTCTTTCTAAGTTGCTTAAGCTGGCTTTGAATCTGCAATTCGATCCTCCTGCCTCAGCCTCCAGAGCTGTTGATATTATAGGCATGTACCACCATACCAGGCTCTTATAAAATATCTTAAAGCCTTTGCTGATTTTATATTTTACAAAAATTATGGATTTTTTCCATCTTGTTCTTTTTTAGTAATGCTTACTTATTGTCAAAAACAATTAATATTTGTAATAATTTTGTGAGGTAAAATATCAAGTCATACAGTTTAAAGAAGTGTCATAATCCTCAAGTTTTCCTTTTTGAACACTTAGTAGTAAATAATTTGAAACAAATCATTTAAAATGTTTGCATCTCTTTTTCTGCAAAGCAAAATTCTTTTAATTCCCTGTACAATAATGCATTGTAAGTTGCCCTCCTCCTCCTTTTTAGCAGAGAAAAGGAGCCAAATGTTAGGGAGAGAAATGGCACTTCTAGGTCAGTGCCTACTGCTTGGTTTACAAGGCTTATGTATTTAGGTGCAATGGCGCAGTGCTACTTTCTGGTCACTCAGCGCAAATAGGTCTCACAAATGTGTTCCAGATGCTGATTTGTCCTATAAGGGCATGTGTTGCTGTTATACTTGCTGGTGACGCTAGGCTATCAATTAAGAAATTAGTTTATGTTTAATGTTCTTTGTCTGATATCACAGAAAACTGATGATGTGGTTTCTAATAGAACAAAAGCATATTCTTAACACAGTTTCTGTTATTAAAGAAAAAGATAAATCAGTCTTTTAACAGTTTCAAAATTCAAGATTTACTTAAACTACATAAATGATACAATATCAAACCATTTAAATTAAAGTTGTCAAGATATCAGTTATGGGGAAAAGATTTTCTGAGAATCTACTTATGCAGTGATAATTGTATTATTTGTAGAATGTTATATAGCATATTTTTCAGGAAACTAGGAAGCACTTTACTTCTTTGTCATAAATTTATAGTACTGAAACCTGCAAAAGTAACATTTTTAAATTAAAACATTCTCTTATACTTTTTAAAACACAATTTAAAATATAGATAAAAATGGATATAGATGTAATGTGATGCTAAGTTTGAGACCCCTCTTGAGTTTCCTTTTAAAGTGTATCAGAAAATTAATATTTTGATATTAACTTACTGAATTCTACTATTAATAGTAATAACTATATAAACTTCAAAGTAAAATGTCATAAATCATTAAAATCTCAAACTTCCTATTTAACATAGAAAAATTATTTACAAAAATATTGTTTCTTTACTTTTTTTTTAAACTCTGCATCACATGTCTTTTTTTGTTTAACATTTTGAATTATATAAGCTTTGTGTTAAATGCAATAGTTTTCCAAATTAGTAATATATTTAACACAGCAGTCCAAAGATAGTCTTCAAAAACTTGCATCCCACTAAAAGAATCTGTCCAAATGATTTAATTTGTATTCTAGGTAACATTTACCTGGTACTGTATTATGTACAGTGGCACATGAGGATAGCATATGCTTGTGAAGTCAGGGTTTCTCTGATCACCCAGTCACTCTGCTTCCTCACTCCTTTAGATTCTCTGCATAGCACTCATACTAGGTTTTTATTATTTATTTACTGGTCTATTTTTTGCCTCCACCTTCCTAAGGTAAAGTCCTTGAGAGCAGGGACTTATCTATCACCTTTTTCCCAGGGCCTTTGATTCCTGGCACACAGGACAAGCTCAATAAATAACTTGTTGAATGTAACTGGATAGCTAGCATTGGTGGCATAAAATCATCACCTTGTTCTCTTATTAAAATAAGGAAATCACCATACTAAAATAATAAATTATTTTTATTTATAAATGTGTTATATCCTTAGCACCTGACCTGAACACAAATCCATAAGTTTTTAAAGCTCTTTTAAGCTATTTAAAACAGGGAATACAGTTTTCAGTGAGTAATTTGAAATTTACCACTCATTAATACATTGAGGGTGGTATTTGTGGAAGGTCAATGACTATTGGAATATGGAGATATAATATTTAGTTATTACCTCTGAGAACACAGTGGTCTGGTTTGGGACTAGGCAATAATACATAACTGTTAATGAACAGAAGGGAGATGTGAAATTGTTAAATTATGTACATTCTGATTGACTTCTGTCAGAGGGCAAAGATAGATAACCCTTTTAGTTGTTACAGTTAGAGGCTGTGCAGTAGCTATAATTTAAGATGAATAAGGACAAGGGTTTAAATGGATGAAGAGGAAACATGAGTGAGGCCTTTCAAGTGGAGAGGATAGTAAATTAGGCAAGAAAATGTAAGGTGCTTTTTATTTGTTTTGTTTTGGTTTTTCAGTGCTGGGGATTAAACCCAGGGCCTCATGCATGCTAGGGCAAGTACCCATAAATGCTCCAACACTGAGCAAGATCCCTAGCTCCTAAAGTTGTTTTTTTTTTTTTTTGTCCTGTGCGTAGTAAATGCTCTGTAAATGCTCATTGAATTCCATTTATTTTGGAGATCTTCGAATTCTCCACTAAAGCGCTTAAAGTGGTGTTTCTAGGGTCCTCTGCAGAGCAACAAAGCAAATTTTACCACTTGAAACCAATATCCTTACAAACTCTTTTAGTACTATGTGATGCCATTCCTATAATTCTTGAGATCCATTTTAGAAAAATTGTGTCCTGAGTTTCAGGATAATTTGGAATGGAAAAAAACTGGTATAGCCTTTATCCTGAGGGTTTCTGGAAGACTTCTGGGAAGAGAATCAAGAAAACAGTATTTTTGTGTGAAATTTACCTAGGAAAAGAAAGAAATTTTTTTGATAATATCAGAATGTTCAGCTTTTGGAATATTAACATTGTGAAGTAAAAAGGATCCAAATTAGATGGCCTGTATCAGGAATAGAAATGGAATCAAATTCTACATCCCAGAAAAAAAGGATGAGATTGGGAATTTAAATAGAAATTGTGAAAAAGCCAGAGAAGATTTATGCTGTAAAAATGAGTCAGGTCTCCATGCCTTCCTTTCCAAGTGTCAACGAGTTGTTTTGCAAAAAATTATTTCTCCTCCCAGTTTTAATGTTTACAGCCTTACCTGCCAGTTTTCATGCTTGCTGTCTAAAATGACACATACCACATGATTTCAAAATAATGGATTAAATCTTCCAAATTTGTCATGGTAGGAATGATTTTTAAAGCTATTTAGAGAAAATATTTTTTATTTTACTTAGTAGATGCTTTATTTAAAGATTAGAACAGTAGAGCAAGAAGTAGCCTTAGAGAAACAGTGCATTAAATCAATTAAGTAAGAATGTATAGAATAAATGGGAATATCACCTCTCTCTTGCAGGTAACCCTGGCCTGCACAGTCCCATGCTGGATTTTGATAATGATGTGCGACCTTCTGTGTTGGGCCACCTCAGTCAGACAGCATCACTAAAGAGAGGCAGCAGCTTTCAGTCTGGTCGAGATGACAGTAGGTGTCAACACCCCTCTCCCTCCCCAACACACACACACTTACTTGGTCTTTTAAGTCTGTACTCATATGATTTCAAACTTTCTTCCTTTTCTTGGAAAATTCCATGATTTAGTGATGTAACTGGTATGAAATATTATCAATTCTTACCTCTTGTGCTTATTAAGTAACTGTGCAGTAATTAAATTTAATTGATAGGGTCTTTTTTTCCCTTTTCCTTGTGGTTTACTCAGTGCTTTATTATAGAGTCAATTTCAACTTTTCTGACCCCCCCCTTTGGTGTTACTGTGGATTGAACCCAGGGCCTTGTGCTTGCTCAGCAGATATTATACCACTGAGCTACATCCCAGCCCAACATTAGTTAATGTTCAACCTAAAAATGTCAGGTACTATATTTCTCATCTTTTCAAGTTCTTTTCTTCTTTGTTTGCTCTAAATTGAACCTAGGGCTAAGCATATGCTCTATTACTGAGTTATACCCCCAGCTAGTCTTTTTAAAATCTTCCCTTCCTTTGTTATTTTCATGTTTTCCCTTAAGTATTTGAAGATAGTTATACCTTTAAGATATTATAATATGAATATTACGCCATAGATATTATATTATAAATTATAAATATGATATAAAGATATCTGTTAATAGCTATTAATTTCATTATCTGTATCATTTCTGGATCTGTTACTGTCAACTAATTTTTCTTCTTTCTTCTAGCTATGATTCCCATTCCCTTGCTTTCGGGTATTTCTAATGATTTTTGTGGTTGTTAGTGTTTGTCACACACTGAATGTTCAGTGGTGAGTGTCTGGGTTTTGTTGTCTTCTTGTAAATAATGCTAGCCAGGCAGTTAAGATTAATTCAGTTCTATCATGGCCTGTGTGATATCTGAAAATTGTTGAGTTTATAATTTCCTGATTGGTCTTTACCTAGCTTTGTGAAGTGTTTGAACTCCAAATATGCATGACCTAGTCCTCAGCAAAAAAACTTAAGAGAATCCCTATACAAATCTGAAGCTTTATTTATTTATTTGTTTATTTATTTATTTATTTTTAAATACCTAGCCCCTTTCTGTCCTGAACTCTCCCTGCAGTTTCTAGTTACCCTTACCCCAGCCTCCTTAAACTTTATTCTACAACTCAGAAAGGCCACTGAGCTTTATTTTAATTCCTCCTCCTTTGCCTCTTTATTCCAGAAACTGGCCGCAAGCAGGAACCCTGAGTGATAATGGGCTTACTACATGTATTCCCACCCCAGGGATCACAGACCTGTGCTGCCTGCTATCAGTATCTGAAAACAGTTATTTCATAGGGGTTTGCCATTTTCAATGCTGGTCTAGTTATTTATGGCTGGAGGTTAAGTCTAATTCTTATTACTCTAGCATGGCTAGAAGTGGAAGTCAAAAAAATCAAGTTTAATTTTCTTAAAGTTATATTTTGAAATTGTAACATTATGAAGGATTGCTTATAATAAACCATGGATATGAATAAATTTGAATAGATTCTTTCTCAACTTTGTGATCAAAGCAACCTACATATTTTGTGATTTCTTTTGGGAAAAAATATGAATGTTTCTGCCATATGTCCTTAATTCCTTTCTTTATTCAAAGGCAGTTATTACTCTTGATGTTATTCTGTCAGTCATATATCATGTGACCCTTAACTAATCATGTTTAAGACTTGTTGGAAAAGAAAATCCAATTATTATTCAGTTATAATGATAAGAATTTGGATGAAGTAGACTTAGAAGGAATGGGGGAGAAAGGAGTCTATTACATATACATGTATGTAAGAAGAATTTACACGTAATGTAAAGGTAAGAATTATTCTCTGTCACTGGGCAGGAGGTGCAGGAACTGTGCTATTTTCTGAGAACCTTGGTGACTGAGTGCCAGTATATTTAGTGATGGCAGAACTCCCATTCCCTGTGACTGTCCAGCAACATTATTTAGTAGCTATTCTAACATTTCTCCACTATGTGAAGTCTGGCAAAGTAGTTTCTCTGGTTAATGTGCCATAGAAAGATTCAGTCAAAGGAATCTTTTGGAATTGGTTTGTTATGTTTTTATTTATGATTGTTTAAGTACTTTTTCTATCTTAAAATCATTTCAATTTAGAATGCTCATTAATGGATTTAACAAGAATGAGGGTGAGTTTACTTTGTTTATTTTATGGTTTTTAAAAAGAAATTTTTCTTTTAAAGTAACAAAAAAGCAGATGAGGTGGCATATACACCTGTAATCCCAGTGGCTTAGGAGGCTGAGGCAGGATGATTGTGATTTCAAAGCCAGTCTCAGCAAAAGTGAGGTGCTAAGCAACTAACTGAGACCTTGTCTCTAAATAAAATACAAAATAAGGCTGGTGATGTGACTCAGTGGTTGAGTACCCCTGAGTTTAATCCCTGGTACCCCAAAGAAAGAAAGAAAGAAAGAGAAAAAAGACAATATTCCTTATTTTTTGCCTGGGTTTAGGGTGTAATCTTCATGAAGAACTGCTTTTTTACACCTATAGAGTATAGATACCTACATTATTATCTATATGCACAGGGTACATTTATAGGCAGTGAGCTAGGACAAACTACATAAAGAGCGGGTACAGGTTCAATGGGTTCTGCTTTGGACACTTTTACTTTAATTTCCCATCAAATAAGCCTTGCAAAGAATATGTGAGATAAAGGTACAGATGAGTTTCTCACAGTGAGGGGTTGGATAGTGTTGGTGGTGGGTACAAAATAATAATAGATTTGGCTGCATGGAGGAACAAGATATTTGGAAACATTGTTCTTGGGAAAGATACAATGTTTATTTGTTACCATGTATTGAAAATTTTTCAATGCTTCAACTTTTAGATTTTTCTCCTCCTGTTTTTTACCTTGTTATTAGAACACACCTGCCCCTGGCATGCTGCCTGCTTTTGGAAAATAATCTATCATTTACTTTTTAGGAAAAAGAATCTGTAACAGATCTATCAACAAATGAAAGCTACTTCTTAACTTAACCTTGCCTTACATTGCTATTGTGATGTACTGAATTGACTGTTCTGTTAGATTGTGAAGCTCTGTGAAAGCAGAGCTTGTTCAGCATTAGTGATGAACAATTCACACAGATCTTGAGTATAGCCACATGATAAGCACACTGTGGATCATCAATAAATATTGGTCGAGTAAAAGTTTACAATGTGCCCTTAACTAAAGAATCATGCCTTCATACATGTGAAAAATGAGTTTAGAACGTGCCTGTACAACATAGGCAGAGGATTGATATGCATAAGAAAAAAAAAGAGGCTCTAAAAGCAGCAAAAAGGAAGTTTCAGTGGCTTGGAAGCATATGAATCGGTACTCAACCTCATTCATAACAATAGTAATAAAAGTCAGTGTACTATTGTAGTGAAATACCAGTTTGGCAAAAACCCCAAGCTTTTGTTTTAGGTTTTGTTTTAACTTTTGTGTTTGGTTTGTTTGTTGGTGAGGTTATAATGAAGCTTATACTTTCATGTGTTGTTTGATAAAGTGTACATAACTTCTTTAGAATGCAATTCAATAATATTTCTCAAAATTACAACTGCATGTACTATTTGACCCAGCACTTCTTATAATGGAGTTTATTCTGTACAGGCACATGTGCTAAATGATATAGGCATACTGTTATTGGCTAAAGCATTAGTTTTAACTGCAAAAGACTGAAAACAATCTTTTCTATTAGAAGATAATTTTCCTATTAGACTACCTCAAATATTAAATACTGTGTCCTCTGTATCTTTGGGAAGAAAGAAGAGGAACATATTAAGTGTGAAGGTGGAAGATAAGAATCATTGTTAAATGAAAAAAGCCAAGCACATCAAATGAGTGTATTTAGTATACTTTCATTTTTGTAAAAAAACCAAAACTTAAAGTGACAGTTGGGAGGGAGAGAGTACATATTTATGTTTGTACATACAAAAAGCTTTTAGCAAAGAATCACAAGATACTTATTACAGTGGTTTCTTACAGCTGGACCAAGGGCTGGGCAAATGGGGGTGGGGGCCAGGCAGTGTCTTCTACTGTTTTATTTCCTAGCCATATATTAACAAGTTAGAAAGTTATTAGACATTTTAAAACAAATACAGTTTACACCTCCTCCCTGTAATACCAAGAAGAATAACACCTTTTTTTTTTTTTGCCTAGGGGTATTTTGAAAAACAGTTAGTGGTTGGTCATGGAGTTAATGGAAATCCTTGTTGGAAGCTGACTTGTCTTTGATGTTGCTAAATAACAGATCATAATTCCCTCCACCCTCCAGCATTTCTGATAATCACTGCAGTGGGACTGGTGAAGGGCTTTGTGGGATCTTGCAGCAGCTCCCAAGTGAGCAGCTAGGAAGTAGGGTAGAAGCAGTGAAGACAGGAAGGAATCCTGAGCCAAGTAGCCAAACAGTCAACCCTGGGATAAACAAAGGGGGAGCCTGAAAATAGCTATAGGTGCCTAAATTTCTACATTTGTTTTTGTTCCCAAGAATGTATTCCTCCTCAAAGAAATCTAAGGCTTTATTTCTCAGTTACTGCTATAAATAATGTAGAACCAAAGAGGTTTCACTATTTTTTTTTTCTGAATTTCTATCTTATGGGAGGAGTTATTCATTCAGTGATTGCACTTGAATATGCTCCTTTATGACAACTGGATTCTTGACTGAATTTTCATCATCTAGGGTGTATAATGACATTTCTCAAAGGTCGTAATTAGCTTTTAGTTTCATTAGATGGCAGAGCAAGCCCCTATGTTGGCTTTTCTTTTCTGGTTGAAGGCATGACTTTTTGAAGAAAACTACACTATCCTGAGGATAAGGTTGAAGAGCCAAAGTACCCTTCTCTCCTGGCCCTCCCAGCTGATGGTGTACTGGCCTGACCTGTCATCCTGGTCCCTGCCTGGCCTGGCCTGGGATTCTTTAGAGGGTGCTCCTCAATACCAGACTGAAACAAGAAAAGTAGGGACCTTGGTGACTGTTGTGTTCTAGAGTATGATATGAATTAAGAAATATTGCTGTGGGGCTGGGGTGGAGTGCTTGCCTGACATGCATGGGGCACTGGGTTCGATCCTTAGTACCACATAAAAATAAAATGGGGGTATTGTGTCCACCTATAACTAAAAAACTACATATTAAAAAAAAAAAAGAAATATTGCTGTATCACTAAACTGATGTTCCATAGCCAAAGTGGGCCAACACAAGTTTCTACCCATATTTAGGTTATTTCTTCTTTGTATTTCATTTTTAGGTGTGGGTATGAGTAGAAAATCATATCTTCAAATACATTATTTTACTGATTCACAAGAGTATTCATAGTATTTTATTCTTCTTTCCCTTAGCATGGAGATATAAAACTCCCTACAGAGTGGCATTTGTTGAAAAATTAACCAAGCTTGTTTTAAGTCAGCTGCCTAACTTCTGGAAACTCTGGATTTCCTATGTTAATGGAAGCCTTTTCAGTGAGGTATGTAAAGGAAATAGACTATAGGTGGAGTTAAGTTATTGTGAATTTCTGTTCTTAAATATTTATTTTAGATTTTGAAACCTTAGAAGCTTGAACCCTGTAATTGTCATTTTATGATACTTGGTGGCCACATGACCTTGATCAAATTACTTGATTGTTCCAGGACTCAGTTTCTTCATCTGTAAAAAAAAAAAAAAATGGTAAGGGTATTCATCTCAACAAGTGGTTATAAGGATTAAATGAGGAAAACAACTAAATTAAGAAAAACATGAAGTATTTTCAAGGATTCAGACTAAGTATAATGTCAGGACAAATTGTGAATGAAATTACATTGGTAAACTATGAACAAATAATAAAGCACAAATAAAATGTTTGCAGCTTGTACACAGGTCTGAAATAATCCACATAACTAGAATTTCTTAATGGGAATGAATTTAAAAATCATGTCAAATAGCCCCATTTTTTCAACCTACTTGAGTTCTTATGAGCCTTTACATTTTAATGAGCCATGCATTTACTTAATATCTTAATTGCAATGTGCAGATGTCTCTGACTTATGATAGTTCAACTTTACAGTGGTGTGAAAGTGATAACAATAGAAACATCACTTTGAATTTTATGTGTTTCTTAAGCTAGGGACATATGGTGTAATCATCACTTGTGATGCTAGATGGCAGCAGTGAGCAGGAAAATAGCCCACACACTACAGTTTATTGTGTTACAAGTTATAATATCTATAGATTATATATGTTAAATGCATTTTTAACTTAGGATATTTCTAATTTATGATGGGTTTATCAGTACATAATGCCATTGTGAATTGAAAGGCATCTATAGTTGGCAGAGTGGAAAGTATGAACATAAAAGTAACGACTTTGACTTTTGTGTGTCACACTTGGAAATCAGACTTATCACTTTATGACCTCACATCAGATACTTCACAAAAGGCCTCCATTTCTTGGAATATACACTGTAAACATCCTTTGCCTCTAGTTGCTACCTGGTCCCACCTGTAAGATTAAGAAGATGGTTCTGTTTCTTGATTACAACATATGTCCCTAGCTTAGGAGACACACAAAATTCAAAGTGATATTTATCACTTTCACACCATTGTAAAGTTGAACCATCATAAGTCAGAGACATCTGTACATTACTATTAAGATATTAAGTAAATGTGTGACTCATTAAAATGTAAAGGCTCATAAGAACTCAAGTAGATTGAAACAATGGGGCTATATGACATGATTTTTAAATGTATTCCCATTAGGGAATTCTAGTTATATGGATTATTTCAGACCTGGGGGAACTCTGTATAGCCCTAGGAGGGCTAGAAGAGGTGTGGGGGTCTTCATGAAGGTCTATTTCCTGCTTTTTTGAACTTGACAACATGGAAAGTAGACATGAACAAAGGATAAACCTTTTTTTTCCCAAAAATAAAATGACAACCCCCCCAAAAAAGATGGCACATTTTTGATGTTTTAGATCCTTCCTCCTCAGTGAGAAGTAGTTAGGTATCTGAATGCTTTAGTGTTCTGTTGAATCTCCTTTGACCATGAGCATAAATTCACTCAGATGTTAAAGAAATAGAATTATCCTCTGGAGGGTTTTTTTTCCCCCCTTTATATTAAAACCCCTTGTCCATGATCTCTTCTTTTTTCTGCCTATGGATTCCTAGATCTTTATTTATATGATTGGCTGGTTATCCAACCTATAAAATTTACTTCTTGTATGAAAATCAGAAAAATGGTAGTACATGAAAACCCAAGTTTTTAGTGCTGAAAAACCAATCACATAACAAGTACAATTTTTTATTTCTTTAACATCAAAAGTGTATTAATTACTCTAGAGGTACAATTTTAAATATTAAGGCAATAATTGACAACTTTTTGGCTTTACTTTGTATCACCTGGGTATGCAAAACCTCCGTTGAAGAGTGAACTTTAAAAGAGGGAATCCTATACAATAAAGTGGGGCTTGACTGCTCTTCATAAATATAATGTTGCTTATTGCTAGCTTCGGAAGAGAATACTTTAACTTCAGTTTTGCAGGTCAGCTGAGAAAAGTTTTTCGAGTGCTCTGCTTTCATGCGTTTCACACGTTGATTTGTCTTTCCATGGATCTCAGCTAAATGAATGTGGGCAGCTTGCTGTGCTGGGAACAGGCTTTGGGTCCTTTACCCTATGCCACAGTGGAGAAGAGATGCATCGCTGGCACCACAGCTTCCTCTTCACAATCTGCTCCATCTCTAAACCAACTCACTTATGTGGACAGGAAAGGTTGTTCAAAGATTTTCTCACAACACTAGTGTTACAAACAGAAATATCCAGTGTATAGCACTTACTAGGCATGACCTTTACTTCTCTATGACTACTTCCATAGGGCTGCTTTGAAAATTCATTGAGTTAAAGTAAGTAAAGTGCTTATAACAGTCTCTGGCAGATAAATAAGAGTTTGTTCTTATTATTTGGAATAAAATTTATGCCAGGGCTGGGAATGTGACTCAGTGGTAGAGTACTTGCATAACATGTGTGTGGTCCCTAGATGTGACTCCCAGTACCAACAACAACAAAAAAAAAAAAAAAAGAGAGAGAAAAAAAATTAGAGTGCTAAACTATTAGAGTAGAATTGAATGATGTCAAGGTAGATTAACTCACCTCAAGAATCAGTCCCTTAGGAAATGGATTGTAAGCTATATTATTTGTTTCTAGCCAAATGTTTTTTTCCTCTCATTTGGATCAGTTCCTAAAGGTGAACCACCCAATACAGTCAGTAGCTTGCTTTATTTTGACTCTTTTTAGAGTCATAAAGTTTCTAATAGCTTTTGATCTGGGATATTTTAGTGAAAGGGGATATATTTTCCTTCCTTGTAGGTTCTACCTACTTATGGTAAAAATATGAGATATAATTAAGTATAATTTGCTGTACAGATTGAAGCATGTTTTAAAACTCTTTACCATCTATTGAGAAGCTCAAAAGGTAACAAAGGGAAATAGCTAGGAGTAGAAGAGTTGAAAAGTGTGTCCATCCTGTCAGTCTATGAGTGAAATCTAGAAACTTAATACTGAGAAGAATTTTGAGTTTTTTTTTTATTAAAGAATTTCTTTTTTTAGTTGTAGATGGACACAATACCTTTGTTTATTTATTTTTTATGTGGTGCTGAGGATCAAACCCGGTGCCTCATGCATGCTAGGCAAGTGCTCTACCACTGAACAACAACCCCAGTCCCTGAATTTTGAGATTTTTGATAGTTGATATTTAACCCATTTGGTTCCATTGTTTCAGATGTAGAACACCTATAAAAACTTAAATTAAGCAACAAGTATACCATTTCTGGTAACTTTGAAATGATTATTATGTTCTCAGAATTGACAACTTGAGTCTTAATGCGTTAATTTCAAACCAGAGAGCTTTATAATATTTGAATACAATTTACTTAAAATTTCATATTTTGTTAATAGAACTATCTTGTTTTATTATTAAGAGTCCATCCGTTAAAGATTTAGATGAAGTTTCCAACAGTTTAAATAAATAGTCAGTTCTTCAAAACCAGTTAGCCCATGTGAAGTAACATAATGTGAATCAAAACAGTGAAATCTAGCCGTTGGTCTTACCACAAAGTAGTTTTGGTCTGTGTGTGCAGGAAAGAGTTAAGGTTTTTAGTTAACGAAATGGTTAATAATAGATTAAGATCTCTCCTTTAGATAGTTTTAAATGTAGTGTATTTTTGAATGAAATTTTTTAAAGTATCCAAATATATGTTAATAATTGGGAATTCTATCTTAAAAAGTTGTATAACTCATGCAATTAAAATGTACTGTAGATTCCAAAGCTAGATTTTTTTTTTTTTTTTTTTTTAAGTAGGGCAAACCTAAGGAAATTCCTTGTGTTGGGAATGTTCAACTCCTCATCAGATTAAAACAATATGTAACTGTTGTTTCATTAGCAATTGCATGCATTAGACCTAACTCCTCTTTCCCTTCTACTTTGCATATATTTGGAGACAAGTCCCTGAATTTTATAAAATTATTGTCCAGTAGATGTCATCATACATTTATAAGCACCTGTTTTGTGATCAAAATTATCACAAAACATAGCCTGAATTTGAGACATTTGTTGAGTGGTAGAAAGATGGGGCACCAAACCCAGGGCCTGATATGTGTTTGGCAAATGCCCTACTATGGAACCTTGCTCCCAGCCCTTGATGTGATACTTCTTAACTACACATTTTCAACTCATTTTCTTTCATTTAAAAGTATTTACAGAACAACTGACTTTGAAATAATCTTTCTGTTGAACATCCCCCTTATGTACAAAGTTCAGGTACTGTGGAGGATACAATTAGAAAAGACTGCCTCTGACAGTTTTATCTTGGCATGTCTCTTCTTTCTTCTATAGCATACCAGAGTAGGAATGTGTGAATCAGGGTTCTCCAGAGAAACAGATCAAATAGGATATGTGTAGGTATACATAACACCCCCTTCTCTCTCTCTCTCTCTCTCTCTCTCTCTCTCTCTCTCTCTCTCTCTCTCTCTCTCTCTCTCCTTCATACACACACAAGGAGAATTGGCTCACGATTGTGGAAACTGACAAGTCAGGTGTAAAGGGTGAAGCAGTAAGCTGGAGAGGAGACCCAGGAGAACTGGGTCCAGTGTGAAAGTTTTCAAGCTTGAGATCCAAAAAAAGCAAATGTTTCAATTCAAGTATCAAAGAAAAAAAAAAAATGAATACCCCAAGTTGAATACAAGGCAGGAAGAGTTCCCTCAGAAACAGGGAAACAGCCTTTTATTATATTCAGACCTTCAACTGATCAGATAAGGCCCACCCCATAGGGGAGGGCCTCTTGCTTTACTCAGTCTCCTGATTTAAGTGTTAACTTCATCCGGGAACACAGATTCATATTTGAACAAATGCTTTGGCACCCTGTGGCCTATTCAAGTTGACAAATAAAATTAATGATTGTAAGTTTCTTAAATCTTCAGCAGTTCAGAATTCTGTTTCATTGTGTACTTCCTGACAGTGCAGTAGGAGCTGGGATCCTCAGGAGCTTCTGATTTCAACGTGGATAATAGTACTCCCAGTCCCCACACAAAACTTTCAGACTTCTGCTTATACCTTTTGTTGACAACTTAAGTCTCCAGGAAGAACTGAGTGTGTTGAGGTCTTCTGAGACATATCATAGTATTTATGCCTGGCAGATCTCCTTCCAAGGGTTAGTCTGTCACCTTGAGACCTAGAACTTCAGGTTTTTCAAAAAGCCCTTCAGAGCATCACAGTGTTTAGGTCAGTCATGCTTTTTGAAGTATGTTCAGGAGTATAACCTAACCCCTGGTGGTAATTTCTTCACCAGATATTTATGGAATACACTGGAAATCCTCTGTATGCCAGATACTGACACAAACACATGCACAGGTAGCTACCAATATTACAGACATACATTTGTGCACATACACATGACATAGAATATGCACATACATACATGCATACATTATATGAGTACACGTGCGTATAGCTTCAACATGCATATACATGCAAACATGCACACACAATATATATATGCAGACACAAATTCAAAAATAGACGTATGTAGTATAAATAAAACAATGACAAGGGTAAGCCTGACCCTTTTCCCTCTTGGAGAGGTAGGACCAAAATATATTTTTAAAAAAGTCACCCTAAGTCCTGCAAAAGGCTGTAAAAGAAACAAAAAGAAGCAAAAAAAACTTTGTCTTTTACCCTGAGATAAAAATTGTAGTAGTGGAATGGAATGGAGGTAAAATCTCTCTGGATATTTAAGCTGACACTTGGCATATGAAAAGGAAACAATGCAGGAGGGATTAGCAAGCAGTATATGATGAATGGCACATGTGTCATGTGGCATCTGAAAAAATGGGAAAAAAGCCCCAGACTGTCCCTAGTAGACATGCACATGTCAGGAGGAGCTCACTGGGCTGGCCTCCTGTGTTAAAAAAGATCATTTTGGTTGCCTATTCTAAATAAATTGTCAGAGAACGCGAGTGAAGGTGGCAGGAAAGAGTGGTGGTTTTGGATGAAGGTTTTATGTTGGAGAGAAATTGGTAGGCATGATTTGTATTTTGGAAGTAGTGTTGATTGTCTCGCTGGTGGATCATATGAGAGAGATGAGGGTAGGTTGTCAGATATAGCTCTGTAACATGTTCCTGAGTGAACAGGTTTGCCATTTTCAGAGCCTGAAAGAGTTGAGAAAGAATGTGCTTGGGAGGAAACATACCAAGTTTCTGAGATAGTGGACTCAAAAAGAGATTGCAATAGGCAATTTGAGATTCAAATATGGGTCTCAGAGGAAACATTTGCACTGGAGATACCATTTGGAAGGATAGAAATAACATTTGAAATTGTAGGAACAATTAGTGGGAGAGTAAAGAAGGAAAAGTGTTCACAACATTCAGAGAACAGCACTAGCCCCTTAGTGAGCAGAACATTAATTTGCAAATATTTCAGCACTGAGGTTCTATATTACCAGCAGCATGATTCGGCTGGGGAAGGGAGGGCAGTACTGGGAATCAAACCCAGAGCTTCACGTGTGTTATGTAATCCAATTGTGGGATTTTGACTGAGCATTATACTGGACAAAAACAGAAAGCAAGCTAGCAGACTCAGAGCTATTTGGACTTGCCTAAGTGGATATGACTCAGACAAGAGGCACAGACAGGTCACCTTCCTTACCACAGTGCCCAGGGTGGTCAGGTTTATATATATATATCACATCACTCTCATAGTTTATACACTTTACTTATTTTCATTCATCTTAAAAATAAAGGAAAACATCCATTTTGCTGTACTAAGAATTTCAAGCATCAATGAACCTAGGAGTCAGCTTTTTTGAATGGTTATTGAGCTTAGGGTTTTTATTTATACCTTTAATCCTTTCAAAGCAAAAGTGAATTTCTTCTAAGAAAAAATGACAACTTCATAGTTTAATATAAAATTTAAAATAAGTGTAAATTAGAGTTTGAAGGATGAATATTTATGTTTGTGCTGACCATTTCTTGTCAGTCCTGTCATATATTTTTGTTGGAAACAACCAACAATCTAATCCTTTGTTTACTCATTCATATCAATATTGTTAATTATATAAATTCTGTATACTGTTTCTTTAGTTTATACAATGTGTGTATATGTGTTCTATATATCAATAAACACTACTTATATTTTAAAGTTAATTTGAAGTCAATAACATAATCATTGATAATGTGATTGTTTTTAACTTGAAAGGTCTCTTGACATGTCTTTACCCTTTAACTAATAATATGTAAGGGTTTTAATTTTAAGGAATAATTTTTACATAATATCCATGAAATGTCAGAATCTTCTTTCACATGGTGTAATTTTGTTGTTGCTTTTTTATTTGGAATGTTTTCTCACCTTGCCCTCCTAGTATTTAATTGTTAAAAATTGGTTAATAAAATGCCAACTGAAATCCAGTTGAACAGATCTCTCTTTTAATCAATATGAAGTCTTCTACACATTACTTTAAGGAAAAGATGGAGTATGTCAAAAGCAGAAAAAAAAATTATTCTAGAATAGTAGAATGTATTTCTTCCTAAATTACACTGTAAAATCCCTTAAAGAAGAGCTGTAATTTATAATTTTTTTAAATAAAATTACATAATGCTTATATTAAAAAGTATTTACGAGGGAAATAGAATGGATATCCTATGATTACTGTCCCTTAATTTAGAGTTTACTCTTCATTTTACTTTTGTACTATCTAATGAGAAATTATGTTAAAAATGTTATCATGGATACATCATAGTTTAACCATATGGAATTATTGAAATACCATATGAACACCTTCAAAGTTGGTAATTTCAACTTAATTTTTAGATTTATTTATGGGAATTGTTCCTAAAGGTTTTAGAATGGTATGTAACTTTTTGCTGGTATAAGAAAGGTTTTCTAATTCGTCATCTTATAACTAGAAACTTAAATTATTTTTTAACTATCCAATCAAATCAGCTCATATCTCATGTTCTGTGTACAACTTTAAAAGTTTTATTTTTATAAATTGTTCCTAAAAGACAACTAATATGTTTTCTTTGTTTTAAAATTTTTAAGACTGCCGAGAAGTCAGGCCAAGTTGAAAGATCAAAGAATGTAAGACAAAGACAAAATGATTTCAAGGTAAGTATAAGTATGCAGAAATACAGAGTAGGGTTTTCTCATCTGAGGTTTTAAAATCTGAGAAGATTTTACAGTGAAAGTATTTGTTATTGATCAGACTGATGACATTTCAATACATTTCTGCTTGTCCATTTCTAGAAAATGATTCAGGAAGTAATGCATTCTCTTGTGAAGTTGATCCGTGGAGCTTTGCTCCCACTCAGCATCCGAGAGGGAGAAATGAGGCAGTATGGAGGCTGGGAGGTGAAGTCTGAGCTCTCTGGGCAATGGCTTGCTCATGTCATCCAGACCATAAGGTAAGTATAGACACATGGTCATCAAAAGGGGTAAACACACACAAATATACCTTCTTTTTTTTCGGGGGAGGGGGAGAGTGGACTTTAGTATGGGATATGATGTTTTAATATAGTCAGCAAGGAAGAAATTTTCTTTTTCTCTGACCTGTAGCCTCTACTATTTCTCACTTATCATCTAATAATGAAACTCTTAAACATTCCTGGTTTTTATGATGGATAAGAAAACCAAACTGTATGTGCATCTTTTCTGTTGCTTAATTCAATATTATTGTTATACCATGATCTTGGTCTTCATCTCCTTTTTTTCGTCCTAATGGTATAGCTTGTGAGCTCTATGAAACACAAGTACAGATGATAAAAGCAATAGGAAGGAATTGCTTCAAGATCCCTTCTGCTAACTTTTGTTTTGTTCTGTTTGTTTCCTAGGCTTACTTATGAATCATTGACTGCCCTCGAAATTCCGAATGATATGTTGCAGACTATCCAGGATCTTATTTTGGATCTCCGTGTACGTTGTGTAATGGTCACATTACAACACACAGCAGAAGGTGTGTTAAGAAAAATTGATAACACTTACTTGGACAATAGTTATCTGAATATACCCTCTTCTTTCAGCTTCCAAATCCTTGAAAATAAGTGAAAAGTACTCTTAGGAAATTCATTTCATTTCTATCTGTTCTTCAGAGGTTTTTCCATTTTGGTATCTTTTCCAATCAATTTAGTTGAGATGAAAGACATGCAGAAATTGAGGCAGGTATACTTGAAAATAGTTCAGAATATAAGAGCATCCTTTGGGCAAATGTTAAATAGAAAATGTAATATATAAAATATGGATTTGGTTTCAAAAATATGTGTATATTTAATTTTTTTTAATTTAGAAAAAACAATGTAAAACTGAGGAAAGGCTATTAGCAATGGTATTCTGAATACTAGAAATTATAGATGCATTTTGATTTTTCTCAGGATTTTCTACATAGAATCATAGAAAGCAGTAAGGTTAGTTTTTATAAAGCAACCTTTTAGGTATTAAATATTTTTGAAAACATTCGAGAACATTGTTAGAAATAACACAAACCATTACTGTCTGCCACTGGGCTTTTTAAGTGGGGAAATCACATCACTGTAGACTTAGTAGTTAATACATTCTGCAGCTGAACATTCCCATCTTAATTCATCCCCTCACCCTTTCTCCCCAGGAATCTGTGCCAGCCTGCAATGTTGAAGGTTTGGGCAGTTTGCATTCCTTTAGCCAAGTGAGAACTATGCTGCCTGCCATTGTCAAGAATGTCTAGCATTCAAATAGAATCCATCGTATAAATCAGAAAAAAATATTGTAGGGCTTATTTTGTGCTTATCTGTCCAGTTTAGAGTACTGAATAAGTTATCCTCAATCAAGTGATCATTAAGCCTATTTTCCAAATTGGGCTATGTAATAAAAATTTTTTATTTATATTAGTATTTTATTAGAAAAATCCAGTAAGCAATACATATTTAGTTTTTTTAATCTACAAAATTAAATTCTATTCCTACTTTCATCAGGTTTTTACAAATCTATTTAAAACAATTAAAGTCATACCCTTTGTAGATTTTTATCTTTATAAATATCAGTGAGATAATTATAATGAAAAGGACTGTGTGCTTGTTTTTCTTGTAGAAATAAAGAGATTAGCTGAAAAGGAGGACTGGATTGTTGATAATGAAGGATTGACTTCTCTAGTAAGTTTAAATTCTTTTTCATTATTAGTCATTATTGTTTATTATATTTAAAATAAATCATTTACTACATTCATTAGGAGTATATGCTCTCTGCATTACAACTCTAAATAGTTTTCTGAAAATAGAAAAATAAGCTTTTTTTATTTTTCATTTTTGCTTAATGCTAATCACACTTATTTAACAATTAGTGAAAACAGTGGGTTTCTTTTAGAGTGGCTGCTTTTCGTCCTGTATCACTATTTTTGTTTGCATTAGTTTTTAGAAAACAGATTATCCTTAATTCCATATTACTCAGCAACTTCAAATTTTCAGAAAAACTGGACAGAAGAAATCGTTCCAGCCCCTAAGCTTTGTTTAACAAAACAAAAATAACAAGCACAAATCTTTGCAGATGTGTTTACAGGTCAGGCAGCAACTAAAACCATGGTCTGTTCTTTTCATATAGGTTTTAGGGTTTCAAAATACCTATGAATATAGTTTCCATAATTTATCGTGTTTTCATATCTGACTTATGAATCCCCCTAATAATCCTGTATGTGGGTGTGTCAGTAAGATTGGCATTTGCCAATAAAACATCCTAGTGGCGTATATAAGAAAATTTCTTTTTCTCACACATTGGCCAGATAACTCAAGAATCCCATACCTAGAGGCCCTCTGCCTTCTCTGTGGTTCTTTGTACTGGCTTCTGCTCAAGATGACCTCATGATAACTCACAGCCTCACTCCTGTTAGGAAAAAAGTCCAGGACTTTTCTAGGAGCCATGGCTGACAGCTCTCCCCACATGTAGTTGGCATAACACATTTTTGTGTCCACATCCTCAGCAGCAGAGGCAGGGAAGTGAAGTTTTTCAGCCAAGTTTGTGGCTGCTCCCAATTTTAGTCTTACCTTAGTGAGAAAAGGGAGAAAATAAATTGTGGGAAGAATACTTCTGGTTCCTGCCTCAGATAAGAAAACAAGAATAAAATGATTTTGACCAGCTCAGATTTATAAACCAGTGAGGAGCCAGGCTGCTGAGGGACAAAGCGCCCACATAATATTTTTTCTTTTCCTTGAATTTTGAACATCTTATTAACAATCTTCCTTTAGCAATTGGAGAACTTGGGGCTTGTTGTATTTCTCCAAAATTGAAGGCTCTACATTAAGGTGATACAAATATATGCAAGCATTCCTTACATTAAGTAACAACATAGTTAAGCTTAACTTCCTTTTTTTTTTGTTAAATCATGCTTGAAATGAGTTAGAAAAGTTTATTGTTTTTAATAAATTTATTATAATTCTATTTCCAAGAATCTCTAGAATAAAAATATCTTAATTAGATTTACTCCATTTGTCACTGTTATTTGTATTTAAATAAAAGCTATTCTGTATCTTTTTCCCCCTCACATTAAGTTCAAAGAAAAAGATGTGTAGCAACTAGGGCAGCCACTTGAGATCCTATAAGATAGAATGTAAAATATTTCAACTTTTATTATTGATTACATTTTGAAATTATGATATTTGTATATTTTGAATTAAATAAACTATTAAAATTATTTGGTTTTAGTTTTTTTTTAATGTGGCTACTGGGAAATCTACACTTCAGTTTTGTTCTTGTGGCTCACTTTATATTTCTGTTGGACAGCACTGGTATGGAGGAAATACTGCATTTGATTTAGAATCAGAACTTATCCTGAAAAAGCCAAATAACCTGACTAACCCCTGTGCTTTAATTAGGAAAGGAATAGAATAATTCTTCCCAGTGTTTTGAGTTAAGATTAAATGAGATACTGTGGACTGAAGCTTTTTGTAAACTGTAAAATTTTAGACAAACATAAAGAATCATTATTTGTTAATTGAACATGTGTAATGAATAGGGCCTCCATGGAAATTCCTTAAGTTTACATTATTTCTTATTATATTGTAAAGTCTGTTTTATACAACCCTGTCCTAATTATCATAGCATGCTTGAAGGACAGGTCCAAGAGATCGCTGAACCATCATCCACTGAGTATCTTGCCCCAAATGAAATAGGTATGAGCAAATTAAACATCAAATCACTTTAATTCCTGGTTTGTGATACCTGCCTAAAATTAGTTTTCTGCAAAGAAAAATGGGGGGGAGTATATGTTCAGTTTGAGAAAATTTAAGTCTCAGTTGCTGTGATTCTGTTTCATTTAAAAAAAAAATATATATACACACACACACACACACACACACACACACACACTGATGTAAATTTGATCCTCAGCCATGAAATAGCTATTGGGTTTAGGTCCTTCTTCAAGTCAATACTTCTAGCATGTATGGTCAGCCCAGTGTGTGCTTCACTGACAGCCACTGTAACCAAAGACGATTTGTTTACTTGATTATTGTAATTGTCCTCTGTGAAAATGACCTGGGATAGTTGCTACAAAAATGTGTTTGTAGTCTGTCTTTAAAGTTTGACTACCCTAGTGCATTAATACCCGTGAAATGGCTAATTCCTTGTTTGACCTGCCATGTAAGTATGTGTAGGGAAGATCTAAACCCCAGTAGACCATGAAACGAATGACCCATGAGAAGGAGCACATTGGGAGTCAGCCAGTACATTTTCTGGTCAATGTCTTTGAAGAAATAAGCCAACAGAATGGATCTGATAATGCCGACCAAGGTTAGCCATTCAGCATGGATCTCTCTTAAGAGAAAAAATAAGTCAACACTTAACAGCACAAGTCTAGAATCTAATTTAAAGTAGTTTAACCTTATGTATGTGTGTAAAATTGTTAGACTTTGAACAATGACTTAGTTCTTGCAAAGCTTGTCACATTCCTCTAATTTATATTTTCTTAACATTTTCATACTACCAATCCCATTTGTTTCTTTTCCTGTGAGTGCTATAGGGAAACATTCTTATCACGTTAATGAAATGAATGTTGAGTTTTGCCACCTATGACTGTTATTTCTGCTGAAGTATTATCTTTAATTAGAACTTCCCTTCAGTGCTCCATAACAGCTTACTTGAAAGCATCCTGTTTTCTTTTCATGTTGAAAATGTTTTCTGCCTTTTTTCAATTTGGATAATTCTAAGAATTTTCTTCTTCAGAGTAACTGGAATGATTTGTGATAACTTCTTGTAGAGTAGTCACCTATCTTGGATGATTCACTGAAAATACACAGAGATAGCACTATTTGATTCTTTTTAGAAAAAAGGAAAGACAATTATTTAGACTGTCATTTATTCTCAATTTAACTGAAACTGCTCATTGAGCTTCTATTACTCCCTGTCCATTTATTGTGTTAATATAAATGTAAAAATTTTAAAAGTGTATTATAAATTGTAATACAAGAAACCCTAAGTGAACACACATGAATGTCAGTATTTAACTGTTCATAGTTGAATTTTTCATTTTATTTTCAATATTATGATTATTATCATTGTTTTAACAACTTAAATTTTCATGCCTTCTGAGGCAGGAGGTCAAAGTTTAAGGTCAGTTCATCTAACAAACTTTTTTTTTTTTCCTCCATGGTGCTGGGGATTAAACACCAAGCCTCACACATGCTAGGCACTAATAAACATTTTGACTCTTTAAATGCTTTCTGTGCAGTCATCATCCTATATGCCTCTTGTTTTCTACTTAATACTTTAAAATATTCTTTATGGTGCCCTCTGGTGGTTTAAGAGAGCAATAAAATCATTAAAGCCAAGGCACTATTTTAGCTTTCATAAGTCAGGGCTATTTTTTTTTTTTTTTTTAATTTTTAAAATTTATTTTTAAACTGATACATAAAAGCATAAACATTGTACATATTAATTGGATGTCATGTAATGTTTTAAAATTGCATAATTTTAAAATTCAGATAAACATATCTATCTCTTCAAACATTTGTCATAAAGAAATGGTGATTTTTAATCTATTTTTTACCAAATGGTGCCTTTGATGAACAAAAATCTTTAGCTTTAAGATAGCTGATGTTAGTTGATGTTTTTTTTCATCTATCATAAGAAAGTGTTAATTAGTACCACTTCTATTCAACACGGAATGGAGGTCACAACACGGCAAGGGAAAGGGGTGGAGAAGAACAAACCAGCTAGGAGGTAAGGGGATCATTAAGAATAACAAGGAATTAAAAAAATAATATAACTTGCAAATTATATGATTGCGTATCTAGAAAATCGTAAAGAATCTACAAACTATGAGCCTTAAAAAAAGGGCTACTTTTTATAAGGAAATAAACTTGTCTTTTAAAAATATGTATACATTTGTCACTTCTTTCTTCTGTTAGTTTTTTTCCCCAAACACTTTTTTAAAAAATTAGTGTGTATTTTGAGGAGAGGTTCATGCTATATTTTGTGCACAGAGATGGTTGGTTGAGCACTGATCCTGCCCCCAGCTCAGTGCCACTTGAATAAATCCTAACCTTTTCTGTGGTGCTTGTGTTCACACTCAGAGATTATGACTTGCTGTCCTTCAGTGCTGACAGTTTCTTACCCCCACCCCTGCCCATATGCATACTGTCTTCCTCCAGAAAACTTGCTACTTTCCTCCCCTCTTGCTCTTCAGGTCTCAGCCTCAGTATTCTTGCCATCTCAGGGGCTTTCTTTGTCCTATTTAGAGAAGACCTCCCTCTAGCACCATTTTTCTCTGAGTTTTACTTGTTTTATTCATGATGCTTATTTTGTTATGCAGTTGAAAATTTATATTTCTATGCTTTAAAAAAAAACAATTTTGACTGTGATTTTCATGGTTGTATGTCCTGGCTAAAATAAGCATTTCATGAGAATTCTGTCTTACTCACTCTTGTGTCACTGTCATCCAGAGTAAAACTTCAGACACACGTAGGAGCCTAAGGTATTAGAATTCATTCAAGCTTATTAGTTGCCATTGGTTGGACATATTTTCAAGTTTCATTTTTTTTCACTTAATGTATATATGACTGCAGTTATTTATTTCACTTACAGATCTTATGCATCCTCCAGATCATTATTATTAACATTAGATTTTGTTGAACCATGCCAGAGATGTGGAACATTGAGGAAACAGCTCAACCCAGAATATACCTGGGATATAATAGTGTTTCAAATATAAACTCAAACTGGGTGCACTGGCACACACCTATAATTCCAGCAACTCAGGAGCTTGAGGCAGGGGGATCACAGGTCAGCCTCAGCAACTTAGCAAGGCCTCAAGCAACTTAGAGCCCCTGTCTGAAAATAAAAGACTGGGGTATAGCTCAGTGGTAAAATGCCCCTGGGTTTAATCCCCAATACCAAAAACAAACAAACAAACAAACAAACAAACAAAACAAATAAATAATAAAGTAACATATATGCTCATTATAATTTGGCCCTTATTGCATCATTTGTCAGAAGAGTAAAATTTTGAAGAAAAATTTTAGTGATATTTGAGTTTTCTTCTAGTATAATGAGATGTAATTTAGTTTTAAGATTGACCCACTTAAAAATATTTTAAAGTGCAAAAAGCACATGCCAAATCTAAAACTCGGTGACTAGATTATTATTGGTCAGATTATTTGTATCTCTCTTCCTTTCCAAACTCCTGGAAAATTTAGAGTGCTTGGCCACATTACTTACTTAAGTTGTCTTCATAGCCTGTGTTTTTAAAAAAATTGAATATGGATATTTTTTTCCTTTAGCCATGTCAGTTTGAACAGTGCATTGTGCACTCCCTGCAGTCCCTGAAGGTTGTTCTCGAGTGCAAGCCTGGGGAAGCCAGTGTAAGTTTCTGCTCAATTCCACCTCCATTTCAGAATTTCTTGAGGAATCCTTTCCACAGTTTAAAATTTCTGACTCATTGCCATACAAGAACTTCTTTTCCTTATTGCTTATGTATTTTATTATTATTATTATTATTTAGCTTAACGGCAGGATATGTTGATTTCTAATTCTAAGATGGGATGATAAAAGTTAAAATATGAGTACAGGGGTTGTAGGCAACACTTTGTGTATGAAATGAATGACTGACCTGGGTATTGTCAGCCAGCCTGGGACCAGAACTACCCTAGGTAGGAAATCACCTGTGGTCCAACTCTTCAGAGCAAGATGTCCACACATATAGCAGTTTTAACTGTTTGTATTCAACTTTGTAAATAGTTTTATTTTCTTAGAAAGTCCAAAAGTTTTAATCATAATTTTTCTTCACAGGTCTTTCAACAACCTAAAACACAGGAGGAGGTTTGCCAGTTAAGCATCAATATCATGCAGGTAATATTTAACAGCTGTGATACCCAAAGCCTGGGATCATACATGCATTTAATAGTCAGCTCCTTCTACTTATAATATGTATATAATATGTATTTATAATATGTTAAATATGGATTCATATTTGAATCTTTTCTATGTACATAATAGTTTAGAGTAAATAGGGTATCAAAATAGTATTTAAATCTAGGATTAATTCCTGCTTGTTTTAATAATATCTGAATATTTAATTTGTTAACCTTTCCATTTTTGTGTTCTTATGATACTTTATTTCTATTTCCATTAGATCACTCCATTAGAGTAAATTAAATGATAATTATTTGTTTACATTTTATCTGGAGTATAAAATTTTTGATTGGGATCAGTTCTTTCTCTGTAGGCACATTGTATAAACAAAGTTGAAAATGTTAGTGAATGAACAAGGGAAAGAAAAAAGGTTTTTTTTTCCTAAAATATATACAAGAACTTAATTGATCAAAACATAGATGCTTTTAATTTCTATCTCTTATGTGGTATATATTGAAGCAACATACCTGTCACACGCAAATATACCCATATAAATATACTTAATATACCCCGACAACATACCACTGATGGTATAGATAGTTCTATTTCATGTAAAATAATTTTCATGTCACTGAAACTGTCTTTGACTTAGGTTTTTATATACTGTTTGGAACAATTGAGCACCAAGCCTGATGCTGATATAGATACTACACAGTAAGTAAAAGTGAAATTATTTTCATGAACGCATTTAAGAAAATTAAAAATATAGACTGAAGCTACATATTTGGTTTTATATTCTGAGATTTCCAGTAAGAGAGGTAAATTGTTTATATTAAAGTCATGATTTTATGTGGCCTATGCTTTTTCCATGATTTTTTTATCTTCTGAATTTATTGTAACCATATTACAGACATTTTGAACAAATTTAAAACATAATTAGCGAGCATGCTACAGGGACACTGCTACATCGATGTTCATAGCAGCACAATTCACAATAGCAAGACTGTGGAACCAACCTAGATGCCCTTCAATAGATGAATGGATAAAAAAAATGTGGCATTTATACACAATGGAGTATTACTCTGCATTAAAAAATGACAAAATCATAGAATTTACAGGGAAATGGATGGCATTAGAGCAGATTATGCTAAGTGAAGCTAGCCAATCCCTAAAAAAACAAATGCCAAATGTCTTCTTTGATATAAGAAGAGTAACTAAGAACAGAGTAGGGTCGAAGAGCATGAGAAGAAGATTAACATTAAACAGGGATGAGAGGTGGGAGGGAAAGGGAGAGAGAAGGGAAATTGCATGGATATGGAAGGAGACCCTCAGAGTTATACAAAAGTACATACAAGAGGAAGTGAGGGGAAAGGGAAAAATAAAACAAGGGGGACAAATGAATGTCAGTAGAGGGGGCAGAGAGAGAAGAGGGGAGGGGAGGGGAGGGGAGGGGGGATAGTAGAGGATAGGAAAGGCAGCAGAACACAACAGACACTAGTATGGCAATATGTAAATCAATGGATGTGTAACTGATGTGATTCTGCAATCTGTATATGGGGTAAAAATGGGAGCTCATAACCCACTTGAATCAAAGTGTGAAATATGATATATCAAGAACTATGTAATGTTTTGAACAGCCAACAATAAAAAATTAAAAAAATTAAAAAATAAAAAAAAAATAAAACATAATTAGCTTACAGATTGTCTAAAACAACAGGTTTTATAAATAATAAAATAGCGGGAAATTGTATACCTCCTAGTTGATTACTTTTATATTCCTGGTGTTAGGGTGCTAAACCAGATCTCTTGTTAGAAACTGAGCCTTTGGTTAGAGTTTAGCCTGGGCCAGGCTTAGTTATTTGAGCTCCAGAGAATACTTCCTGACTTGGTATTTACAAATTTATGGGGTGGTTTTTCAAAGTGTGGCTATATTGGACAGTAGTATAAAATGCTGAATTTGTTTTCTTTTCTTTTTTTTTTTTTTTTTAATTTTTTTTTGTTGGTTGTTCAAAACATTACATAGTTCTTGATATATCATGTTTCTCACTTTGATTCAAGTGGGTTATGAGCTCCCATTTTTACCCCATATACAGATTGCAGAATCACATCAGTTACACATCCATTGATTTACATATTGCCATACTAGTGTCTGTTGTGTTCTGCTGCCTTTCCTATCCTCTACTTGAATTTGTTTTCTTAACACCAAGTTTTTCTGAGTGTTTATTTCTTAGTACTGGCTTTTGCTTTCCAGTATATAAAACTGTTACCTCTTTGAAGGCCAAATAAGTTTTTAATTCTTCTAGATTTTCTGATTTGATTTTGTATATTTAGTTTATTACATTGCCAAAAATGTGTATAGTTAATCAGAACCTTGATATTATTGATTAAATAAATCTTTCCTTGTTGCTCTGTTATAATTTTTCATATATCAATGTGTTAGATAAACAGGTACAATGTATTTCTGAGCTTTATCTTCAGTAGATTTATCAAATATATTTTATATTAGTGCTGTGTTAATTATCTTTGGTTTATGTTTTAATGTTTTTCAGACTGGCCTTCTTTTATTATCTCTGTTTTAAAATATTAGTTGATATTTTCATTGCTTTAGTCTTCTATATTAATTTTAATTTCAGTCAGGTTTAAAGAAAAGGAATGGTATGTTTATGATATGTCCTTCCTTCTGTCTCCAGTTTTGTTTCTAGTTGTTTGTGGGTTATCAATTAATTTCCTAATTCACCTCACCTTTAAGTGGATTACTATGAAAGCAAGCTTCAAAAAGCCCCCTGGAAATTCTGATAGAAACACTTTGAGTAAAATTACTTGACATTTTTTTCCTTTGATGGTTTGTTTTAAATTCATGCCAGTTTTGAGAAGGTCCAAAAACAGTTTTTTTTTTTTTTTTTTTTAATGGCCCATGTTAATTGATAGCCCACTGTGCCTTCTTTGAGAGATTAATTTTAAAATGTATTTCAGGAAACATACAGAAAGTTATTTGATTTCTTTGCACCAAAACCTTTTTTAAAAAAGATTTTTAAAAAAACTTTTAAAAATGTGCATTATAGTTATACCAAAACCTTTTAAAGTGAAATTTATATATAGTTTGTTACATTTTTTAATTTCAGTGCTTTAATTGTAACTCTTCTATAATTTAGTCTTTCTGTAGATGTTTCTTCTCCTGATTTGTTTGGAAGTATTCATGAAGACTTCAGTTTGACTTCTGTAAGTAAGCTAATAAAAATAAAGTAGGATGTGCCATTTAAAATTATTTAATGATTAGTCCATAAATCAATCTGAATTACTTTGAGTATTACTTCATCATTGCTGTAGCATGTGTATGAAACAGTGCCTATACACGGGAGCTATGTTATATTATGTGAAGATTTTAGTAAAGTATAATTAAATGTACTCCATATTGAAAGCTTTTTAGCTGGAGTTGCATTTAAACTCCTGTACACTTGTTGCATCCCTGCAGGTTCTTGAATGTTAAAAGGTGTCCTACTAGTTCTCTGATGTTTGAAAGTTGATCCTCTGGGTAGGAGGCACAGGACAAGGGCATTTCCTCATGTCTGTTGCCTCTTCAGCCAGAGAAGCTCTGCTTTTCCCTCTTTTTATTTGAATACAGATTTCTTGGCAAAAACAAAACCAGATCACTATGTATCTGTGCACGCACACATGTATATGCATACACGTGCACACACACACACACACACACAAACACATTTTTCACGTATACATGTACGTGATGATTCAGATATAGACATTGATCATGTAGGCAAACTTAGATGTTGAATCCAGACTCAAGCTATCTATGTTAAAAAAAAACTTCCTCTGATTTGTGATGATGTATTGAGTATGTGTGTGCATGTGCGTGTGTGTGTGTATCAAGAAAAAAGAACATCTGAATTTCCTACCCTGTTATTTGTTATTTCCACAGTAATTTTAAGTATATATTCCTAAATAATAATGTGTTTGGCATATTAGGAAAAGTATTGTCTAGTCAAAGTAGTTAAAAATATTATTCTAGGTTTGCTCATTTGGATGACTAGGTAGAGAATGTTAACCATTCACTGAAATAAACAGCTTCTAAAGAAAGATTGAAAACTGAGTTTGGGAGCATATTTGTCCAATGAGTGACAGAGATAACTTCTGGGTGATTCGATGTACTTGTCTGGATCCTAGAGAGATTTGTTAATAAGCCATACATACACAATAGAAGGCCTAGGAATAGATAAAAATACTAAGAAAAATACTAGTGTTCTGTCCAGCAGAACTTATACTCAGAGTCTCCCCAGACATGGTGGCAGGGGAGTTCCTGCAAGGTACTGCCCTACACCATCCTGGAATGGGGCCTGTTGGGATTTCAAAATGCATGGTGATTAGTCCAAAGCATTTATTAGAATGCTTACATATGGAAGGGCTACCATATCTCCTCTCAGTGGACAGGGGACAAGAGAATAAACATCCACAAAAGGAGCCCGTGTTATGAAATTTAGGTTTAAATAATCTGACTGAGGGTGGGTTGGTTTCCACATACTCGATGGCACAGCTCATCTTCGGGTACCTTTCAGCAACAGCCCAAACAGCTTCCTAATGCCAGAGATAAGGCCCAGCTCAGGTTGAAGCCTGCAGAGTAAGACATGCAGCTGACTGGGTCACAGAGGGGTCAAAACATTCAGCCAGGAACAGAAAATGGGGGTTCTAGGAGAACCCACATTAATAGAATGAGATAAAGACCAACATGAAAATAATATTGGGGATATATAACCATTAGTTATAGAGTGACTAACAGAGAGCCTCAGCATCTTCTTTTTCTTTTTTAATATTTATTTTTTAGTTGTAGTTGGACATAATACCTTTATTTTGTTTATTTATTTTTATGTGATGCTGAGGATCGAACCTAGGGCCTTGCACGTGCTAGGCGAGCGCTCTATGCTGAGCCACAACCCCAGCCTCCTCATCGTTTGCTGAAAAGGAATAATTGTAGAGCGAGAAGGAAATCTTGGTAGAGCAGTGTACTTTGAACAGGCGGAAAAGAGCATTTAAGCAAAGAGATGCTGAACAATCAAACAGAGGAGGATCAGGTTGTGGGAGATGAAAACTCAGCTTTGTGGGCTGTGTTGTAGGAGCTGCTTCTGTAGGTTAATGAGGGAACAGCTGATTGTCCTGGAGGAGAGTGACAGGAGAAGGCCACACACGAAGTTTAAACCAGTCTTTTCATGTGAACCTGGAAAGAAAGAATGCTAGAGAGGGTTGGGGCTGAAGGAAAGGTCTTTGAAATTGATAGACCTTCCATCCATCTGGCCAACCGTACTTTTTCCTCCTTCTTTCAGAATAAGCTTAATTTGTACATGGTAACTTTTCTAGTGTTTGAAAACTGCTTTGCTTTCTTTTATTGATGCCTTGTATCCATTTAGGTTATTTTTCGACTGACTTGTGGATATTCCCAGACATGGGGTTGCTGCTCTGAGCCTAAATCTGTACCTCTTCAGAGGTGGAGCATGAGAGCAAGCACAGACTCTCTGTGACTTGCCTCCTGTGAAGAATCAAAGTTGTCGCTCTTGGCTCACACTGAGCTTATGTTCAGAGGCTACCCCACTCCTGTGTTTTATACTTGCTGATATCAGCTTGTCCTGTTTTATTCACCAAAAATTGTCCATTTGTTACCAAATTCAGTTCCTATTTTTCCCCATTGGAAGATGCCTTTTTAATTTGGCCCATCTTTTCAGATGATTTCTATCTTAGATCTTTTGTTATCTAAACGGGAGGCAGTTATGGTTAGAAAGAGATCTAGATTTTGAGTCAGGGAACACAGGTTCACATCCTAGTGTGTGCCTTATTCACTGTATAACCAGGGCTATTATTGAGGACATCCAGGCTTGGTCCTGTCCTGGATAACTGAGAAGAAAATAATACCTCAGACCGTATTTTTTTCATCTGTAAGTGCTGTATTAGATCAGTTTGAGCTGTTTCTTTTCAAAAATACGTTTCCCTCTAAGGTGCTAATAATAAGCTTTTGATTAACCATGCAACTCTAAGAATTTGATTATGGTGTTCATTTGTTCTTCCCACTTTTATTTCATCTGATTGATTAGATTTGAGAGAAAAATATGCTTACTAAATGTGAGACTTGAACTCAAGAAGTTTTTCTGTTTTTGAAGAGGAACTATATATATTACAATGGGGAGAATCAAGCAAAAAGAATTCACTACCAGTGTAGAGAAGACTCAGGAGGCTGAGTTTGCTGGGTATGAAGCTTTTTGACTCATAAACTGAGAAAGCAGTTGAGGTTTCTGAGGAGTATATCATGTTTGGAATGACTGATGAAATGTCCAGTTTGCTTATCCCCATGTGCTTTGAAAGGACTGCATAATGGCAGAAGTAGGCTTGGGAACAAGAGGGGGAGATATGGTCTTGCCATTCCTGGCTTCATCTGTACAAATTCTAGCACTTACCCATTGCTTTCTTTCTGGTACCTTTTCTGCCACTTATCCACTTAATATGGAAAAAGTTTTATACATAATATCACCCTGTTAACTTTGTTATATGTCCCACTTCCTATCCACAAGTTGACTTAGAGCCATTAGCAATTTTTTCATTTGTTTGAAGTTACTTTAATTAAATTTTTTGGCTTTCTATTTGTGTTTGATTAGGACCAGAAAGGGCAGTGAGTAGGCTATACTCTGCCAGAAATAAAGATGAGAACATTTTAAATTAAAAAAACCTGGATATAGCTGGGTGTGGTGGCATATGTCTGTAATCCTAAGGACTTGGGAGGCTGGGGCAGGAGGATTGCAAGTTCACAGCCAGCCTCAGCAAATTAGTGAGGCCCTAAGCAATTTAGTGAGACCCTGTCTCAAAATTTAAAAAGTTAAAAAAAAAAAAAAAAAAAAGCTGGACATGTGGCTCAGTAGTTAAGTACCCTTGAGTTCAATTCCTGGTTACCTCCCCACCTGCTCGACCACCGCCCCCAGAAAAGAAAGAAAGACGTTTAGAAGATCTATGGATACTTGATTGAACTAAGTGAAGTTATTGGAAAATGCAAGGTTTGCTTGGCAATTGAGTTCAAAGGCTCTAGTTCATCCTTGGTCCATGTAACTCAAAGAACATCATCCTATTTGTATCTGCCTTTTCTATACTGAACTACATTATTGCAAGTTATTCTTTTTCCATACAGAAAGAATATGCCAAATGGGGTTGAGAATTTTTCCTAGACAGTGGCTTTGCCTTAGTTTTAGTCAAGGATCTTGAGTTAAGGCCCTAGATGAGTCACAGTTGTTCCAGAGAATGCTCTCACACCAGCAGGAGTACAAGACCCCTGGCCTCAGTGACCACAGTAGCAGCCTCAAGGGTCATTCCCAGAATTTAATCTACAAACACAGTTCCTCTGAACTGTAGGATATTGTATTCATAAGTATTGGGGTCTGATCATTTTTATAAGAAATTACTTAAGTGGAACAGGACCCTGGAGAATGTACCAGCAAATGGAGCTCTACTCCTTCCACTTGACTGACCTGATCACTTCCTGTGGAAGAATCCCCTGACCTTAAGGGACCCTCACTCCCTATTAGAAGGAGATTATTCCTACACACAAAAAAGTTCTTAAAAGCCTGAAGTTTTGAAGGAGCCTATCAAACAGATAAAAGAGTAGTATTATTCTCTTTCAAGTTATAAAAAGTTTATAAACAATTTTTCTGATAATTTCTATACTTTATGTAGTTATTTAAGGTATCCATTTGTATAACATTTTTGTGTACATAAAATTGGCATAATAAACATTATTTGATTTTTCTTTTTATTTTTTTATTTTGGGGGTGGTTTTTATTTTTTTATTTTCTATATTTGAATGTAGGGCCTTGCCCATGTGAGGCAAGCACCTATGCCTGAGCACATCTCCAATTCCTGTTTGACTCTTTAGTGTATTATGTAATCATAAGCAATTAGTAGAACTGTAGAATTATGTGATGTTTCTGCCTATGTTAATGTTAGGAAAGACATAGTCAAGAAAAGGAAAGCATGCAATATAGAGGTTAAAGAGCAAGAGATTGTAATTAAATTTAAGAAGTGATAAGGTTTATCTTTTACACTTGCCATGTGTTACTATAAATGTATTTCTAAAGATTTGTTCGTCTTTTAGGAGCAGCGACTTTTGATTGTCCTGAGTAATTGCCGCCATCTAGAACGTCGTACTTTCTTAAATATAACAGAACATTTTGAAAAGCACAACTTCCAGGGAATAGAAAAAATAACACAGGTAAATGAGTTAAAGTTAAGTGGACAAATTGATTGTTTTCTGAACTTTGTTTACAAGCTGTTTTCTTGTCCTTCATTTTTTTTTTCTTTCCTGTGCTTGTTCCTTTTCCTTGCCTTCCCTACAGCCACTTCCTTCTGCTCTCACTCACACTATCTTTAATGATTCCCTTCCTTCTCATACCTCCCCTTGAACAGTTAATTTAATGCCAGCTACTTTCTGTTGAACAATGTTTGCAAAGTTAGATATGTTTCACTCCCCACCTAAGCTCTTTAAAAGTGAGGGAAGAAAGTAAGATCTAGGTATAAATGTCAGATTTAACTACTTTTAGGGTAGAGCTTTTAGATATGACCAAGAGCAAACTCTCTGAGCCTGCGGATAAACCTCTTCCTGCTGATCCACACCTCTCTTGCCTCTCTTCCTTTCCATGTGACCACAATGATGCTTTTGCTGTACTTCTCAAGCATGTGTGCACCCACATGCATGTGCCCAGCTCATAACAGCTGCAGGATGCTTAACATCTGAAAAATACATTATTGGATATAGGAAGATATGGAGAGGTTGGATAAAAATAAGTCCTGTACAAATCATTTGAGTGGTTTTTTTTTTTTTTTTAATCTATATTGTTATCTCTTGTTTATATATTTTTTCAAGTAAGCATAAAAGGAAAAAATGAAATAACCTTGTTATTAAAGTTTGGTTGGTTCCTGGGCAAAGGTTTATCAGATTTCTAGGTAAAATGTTGTTAGAACCACTTTTTAATGTCAGTACACTTTTCTCAATGCAAAGAATAAGAAAGATAATGATCTTGTTAATCATATAATCAAAGTGTACTGTTGGTGGATTGCATACTTTTTATAAATGATGGTTCCAGTTCATGAACTAGATTGGGATTTTTTTTTTTTCTTCAAAGAATCAAAATGTCATAGTGGGCGGCACTGTCTTGTTTTCCTGCCTTTTCGTAAAGATTAATCATCCTGATGAGAAATGTTGTAACTTAAGGCTGTAGGGCCAAATGTCTAGTTTGTTTCCAGAAATTTTTGTGTAAAGAGTTGCAATATGTTGTCTTACAATAAAAAATTACTATGTGTAGAATGTGGATACATTAATAACATGAATATTTTATTGGAGAAATTTTGTTATTTTAAAAATATATGAAATGATTAAGAATTGCATATAAGAGAAGCAATAAGTTTGATTTTTCTCCAGATTTCTGTGAAGTAATAATTAGAAACTTTCTGTTGCTTAGGTTTATATCATTAAGATGCAGAAAGTATTAAGGATCTGGGAGTGTATCATAGATAGGCTTTATTCCCACTCAGAACCTGAATTTGGATTTTTTAATAAATTGATCATCTTGAATACTTATAATTATTTAGTTGTGGTTGAAACCAATAGACAGTACTCAAGATTTATATAATAGCATTTCTCCTGTTTTGTTTTGTTAGGTGTTGAACCCTTTATTTTCATGATGTCCACCAAGTAAATTATTGCTTGCACTCAAGGAGAAATGTTACCAACTGCCATCATTTTTCATATGGTTCTCTTTCCAAATGACAGATGATTCTAGAGTTATCTTAGAAAAATCACAGGGCACAAAAGGTCATAGTTTTCAATTCTCTTCTCTGTTTCTGCTCTTAGAGATAATTGTTCACTAGAGGGCTTTTCATGTGGTGTCACTGGACATTAGAACTTCTCTCAGACCTCTTCCTGGTGTGATCTGGTGGTTGGCCAGATTTTCTTCCAGGTATATTTCCTCCTACATTCTTCTCTTCTTAACCCTCACCCCACAATTGCTAGATGTTTTAGTCAGCTTTTTTGCTGCTGTGACTAAAAGACCTGACAAGAACAATTTTAGAGGAGGAAAAGTTTATTTGGGGGGCTCATGGTTTCAGAGGTCTCAGTCCATAGACAGCCAGCTCCATTCCTCATGGCTTGAGGTTGGGCAGAACATCACAGTGGAAGAGTGTGGCAGAGAGAAGCAACTCAAATGATGATGATGATCAGGCAGCAGAGAGAGACTAAGCTCAGTTTACCAAATATATACCCCAAAGGCAGCTTAGTGAGGCTGGCTTTGAACTTGTGATCCTCCTGCCTCAGCCTCCCAAGCTGCTGGGATTACAGGAATGTGCCAACGCACCTGGCTAACATTGTTTTTAAAAAGGAAAAAAATGGGACTGAGGTTGTGGCTCAGAGGTAGAACGCTCACCTGGCATGCATAGGGTATTTGGTTCCATCCTCATCACCACATAAAAATAAAGGTATTGTGTCCACCTACAACTAAAAAAAAAAAAAAAAAAATTAAAAAAAAAGGAAAATAAGAAATTTAATCAAATAAAAATAAGAATTGTGTTTTATGCACTAACCAAAGGTAAGTGGTACTATTTTAGTATTTATAGTAATTAGTATTTTATATTTACTACACATCTATATGTTATAAAATTATAAATAACATTTTTTCTGGGTTCATTTATATTGAACATATATTTCTATTGAATATTCTGTTGTGAACAGTAATATTTTTATTAACTATTTTTGTAAAATATGAATTTTAGGACTTACAGTATAGGTTAATATGAAAATACCGTCTTATTTTTTAACCTCTCCCTTAGTAGGAACCCTAAAGTTATTTTCCATTTTTACTGTTGTTGTTACTAAGAAAGAGTGATATGCGACTGTATGATCAATATGATTCTGTAACACGTGCACTCAGAAAAGTGAGAAATTATATCCCATCTATATATGATATATCAAAGTACATAAATCCATTCTATTGTCATGTATAACTAATTAAAACAAATAAAAAAATTTTATAAAAAAGAATGATACTCTTTTATCATATGTCTAATTGCTTCCTCACAGTAGATCCCTAGAAATAGACTTATAGCTCTGAAGACTTTTGGCAAGTATCACCAGATTGCTTTTAGAGAGTTGATCTTACCACATTTTTGGTCTCATTTCTTATTACAATGTCCATTTTGAGAGGTAAAAAGACTCTTTCATTATATTTTAATTAGCATGACTTTCCCCTTTAGGGGGATTTGTACTTTTTCATCTGTTTATTGACTGTTTATGTTCTAGAAGAACAAGTTTTGAAGGCAGTTAGAGAGTTAAAGAAATACACAGAGTTTTGTACTCTTAACTGTGCAAACCAAATCTGCGTAAGTCAAATTCTTTGAGACTTCTGAAAAGGGAAAACCAGAGCAGTATAGTTAATAAACTTTAGCATATAGATTTTTTGTGGTAGTTCTAATAATATAATGCCAGGGAACTTTTTAAAAATCATGTGAAATATTATTTTAACCTTGTTCCAGTCTTTAAAAAACAAACATCTAATTTAGAGTTTATGTAATCATATTTTTTCCTGACTTGGGAATATGGACATTAAACAAGTCTGGCATTAAAAAATTCATGACTGAATTTTTATTTAAGCCCCTAAATCTCTTTCAGAAACTCTAACATGGAAGGTCTGAAGAGTATAGTTTGTTTTTCTTAATATGTGCAGGGAATCTGAATTAATTTAAGTTAGTCCATGAGAATGATTATGTCACCCTCCCCTTAATATTTTTGTTTGCTGTGCTTGTAATTTGTTTTTTCTTCATATTGGGAATGGTTTCCTCAGTTGATTTCATCTACCCTATAGCTTTATGTACCACTAATGACTGTGATTCCCAAATCCTTTATCTTTAACCTATGTGTCACTCGTACACTTCAGATCCATTTCCCACCAGATTTCTTCACTAGAAGTTTTCATTGATGCATTCCAGAATTAGCATGCCCAAACCAGAGTCATCTTCTTTCATCCTTTATACCATTTTCTTTCTCTTTTGTATTTCCTATATTAGTAAACATTGAGTCCTCAAGCCAGAATTTGGGAATTATTCTCTTTTATTTCTATTTGTTTATTTTAAATTGACATAAAAATGTATATATTTGTGGAGTACAATGTGATCTTTTGATATATGTATTCATTGTAGAATGATTCAGTCAGACTTATTAACATACCCATCCCCTTATCAACTTACTGTGCTTTTGTGGTGAGAACATTAAAATTCTATTCTTTGAGCAATTTTGAAATATGCATTATTTTTAACTGTGGTCACCATATTAGGCGTACTTCACTAACACTTATTCATTCAATCTGGCTAGAACTTTGTGCTTTTTGATCTCTCCTTTCCATCCTTTTCCCCTTTCCTCTCTCTACAGACTCTTGAGTTACCTTTCTACCATTTTGTATGAGATAAATGTAAAAAAAAAAATTTGTTATATTTGGATATAAGGTGTTCCCCAAAAGTTCCAGTGTTAATGCAGCATTATTTAGAACTGAAATATTTGGATTGTGAGAACTGTAACCTAATCAGTTCATCCTAGTTTGAATGGACTGACTGGGTGATAACTGTAGGCAGATGGGATAAGTCTGGAGGAGATGGGTCACTGGGGGCATGATCTAGAAGGATACATCTTCCTTTCCTTTTATCTTTGTGCTTCCTGTCCACAGTAAGAAGATTAGTGCTTTACTGCCATGCCCTTCCACCATGATTTTCTGCCTCATGTTAGCCAAACAGTGGAGTTGTCTGTCTCTATACTGGTGTTACTGCTGTTGACCGGTGATGAGTCCTTGCTTCCCCATTGTTGAAGTATAACACCGGAGAAGCACGCTGAGGCAAGGTCAGAGTGGAAAGTAGAAGTTTATTAAAGGACAGCAGAAAAGACTTCTCCCGGAGGAAGGAGGGGACCCAAGAGATGGAATCCGTGGAAGTGCGGTTGTCTCCCCATTTTATAGTTAAGGTCTTCATCTGGTCTCCCCCCCCCCAATTCCTGTCCTTTGTTCTGTTATCTTTCAGTGATAGAAGGTAGGTGGGAAGGCCTGAAGGATGGGGCACAGGTGGGCCAAAGAAGTAATCTTTTAGGACTTTTGGGTCAGCATCTTCAAGTTTGCTGGGAGCTGTTTCATTAACACTTCTTTGGGATGGGCTCTGGGCCTTGGGGACATTAACATTCCA